GGAGGAGCAGAAGGGGGAGCCCTCTGGATGAACTGCCCCAGACCTGGCGTGAGGGTGGGGAGAATAAATGGGGCAGGCGGGCCTGTGGGACAGGGGTGTGGGGGACGTGGGAGCAGAAGATGGAGGGGGGATTCGGGGCAGGCCAGCCCAGGTTCCACTGGAACCTGCTGTTTCCTAGCTCGGACAAGTGATTCCCTTGTAGGTCTCAGTGGCCTCATCTGTAAAATGGGACATCAACCCTGCGATGGATGAACAGCACTTGAACACAGTGCTGGCAACGGGACGTTTTATGTTTTTATTTTTATTATTTTTATTTTTTTAATAAATCTTTATTGTTCAGATTATTACAAATGTTCCTCTTTTTTATTTTTTCCCCCTCCGTTGCTCCCCTTCACCAGGTTCCCACCCCACCCTCTGCCCTTGGCAACGGGACTTTTTAAAAAATCCTAAAGTATTTATTGAGCACTGGAAGGAGTACCCTGACAGTCCCCGTTGGGGGCAGGCTCCAAACTGGCACTTCCTAGTAACATACAGCCCAGTGGGTGCTAAGTCAACGCCAGTGCTATGCTTGACCAAAAGGAGAGGGGAACGGACACCAGGAAAGCACAAAATCCCATCCATCCAGAGGAGCCATCTAGCCCTGACCGGTGTGGCTCAGGGGATAGAGCGCTGGCCTGCGGGCTCCAGGGTCCCGGGTTCGATTCCTGTCAGGGGCATATGCCTTGGTTGCGGGCACATCCCCAGTGGGGGGTGTGCAGGAGACAGCTGATCGGTGCGTCTAACTCTATCCCTCTCCCTTCCGCTCTGTAAGAATAAATAAATAAATAAAATTTAAAAATCAATAAAAAATATATATATATATTTTAAAAAGCCACCTAGTCCCATGCCTCCTCCCCTGGCAGTCTAGTCCTCTCGCTGGGGTGGCCTCCGCCTTTCTGATCCACCACCCCCCCAATTCCAGGCAGTGAGACGGAGGGGCGCGAGGTCACGGAGCCCAGAGACCCTGCCCCGGGCCCATCCCCACGCCGCGCAGCTCCATTCCCGGGAGCTGGCTCCCAGCGCCCCCTAGCGGCAGGCGCGGTCCCAGCGCCCGCATTCCGGCCGCGGCCTCGCCCTGCCCGGCGGAAGGAGAAAAGGCGGGCACTGGCCTCCCGCCCCGAGGCCTCGGGATCCGCCCGGACCGGGAGGGGCGGAGGGGGAGCCGTGGGCGGGACCCCTCCGCCCCCGGCGGGGACGGCACTTTGCAGACGCTCCCCGGGCGGTTTCTAGGCCCCCCAGGCCCCGCCCGGAGCCGGCGGCGGGCGGGGCTGCGGCTCCCCGCCGGGCGGACCCCGCTGGGCGGGCCCGGAGCGGGCGCCGGGCTGGGAGCCCCTCCTTTCCCGGGGCGCCCGGGCCGCTCCGCGCTCAGGACGGGCGCTTGTTGATGAGACTTTCCTTTCTTAAAAGGGCGACGGCGCGGTGGGGCCCGCGGGAGGGACGGGCGGGCAGCGTGGGTGGAGGACGGAGGGCGGCGGCGGAGGGCGCCGTCCGCACCCCTGCGGGCCCTCCGGCCGGAGCCCTGGGCGCTCAGCGGCTCCGCATTGAAGCTGATCGCGGCCGGTCTGTGGCTCAGCGGACGGAGCGTCGGCCGGCGGACTGAAGGGTCCCGGGTTCGATTCCCGTCAGGGGCCTGGGCCTTGGCTGCGGGCGCGTCCCGGTGGGTGTGCTGGAGGCGCTGGTGCTGTTTCTGACTCTCCCTCTCCCCTCCTCTCCCAGAAATCAATAAAATTATATAAAATTATAGCGTGACCTCAGGGGCCCGTGCGGCGGGGCGGCAGGTGAGGGGATGGCCCGTCGCTCCGGTGGGATGGGGCCAGGGAGGTGCGAGCGGAGCGGAGCGGGAGGGCAGGACCCGAAGGCCTGGCGCCTGGGCGGCGGAATGGCGGGGTGATGGGGTGGCGGGGCCGCGGACAGTGGGGCCCTTAGGTCCCGGGCAGCAGGGGACCCCGGCCGGACTGAGGACGTGGGGGAGGGGTGTGGGAAGGGGGTGTGGGGGTAGGGGGTGGGGCAGGGGGTGTGGGAGGGAGGGAGGGGACCCCGCGCCGGGAGCCTGAGGGGGGAGCGGGCTCCCCAGGGAGAGGCCACATATATGTGTATATGTGTGTGTACACGTGCATGCGTGCGCGTGTGTATATGTGTGTGTATATGCATATATGTGTGTATATATGCATATGTGTGTATATGTGCGTGAGTGTGTGTATATGTGTATGTGTGTATATGTATGTGTATGTGTGTGTATATGTGTGTGTATGTGTGTGTATATGTGTGTGTATGTGTATGTGTGTGTATATGTGTGTGTATGTGTGTGTATATGTGTGTGTATATGTGCGCGCGCGCAGGGAGGGGGGACCTGCCCGTGCACTCGCCCCGCGGGCTCCCCTGACCTCGGGCCGCAGGCAGGTCCCGCCTCCGGGGCGGGAGGGGAGGGGGGAGGGAGGAGGGAGGAGGGAGGAGGGAGGGGGGAAGGGAGGAGGGGCGGGCGGGGAAGGGGAGGAAAGGGGAAGGGGAGCGCCCGGGCTGCCCTCCTCCGGCCGCAGCTTCCCGTGGGCCTCGGAGGTGAAGCCGAGGCCTTGACCCGGGGCCGCGGGGCAGGTTCCTCCGGGCGCAGAGCCGCCTCCGCCCAGAGCTCAGCCGGACCGGAGGCCGCGGGGCCGGAGGAGGCGGCCCGGGGGCGGGGCCGGGGCCGGCCATGCGGGGCGGGCAGACAGACGGATGGACGGACAGACGGACGGACGGACGGACAGACAGACGGACGGATGGACGGACGGAAGGACGGACAGACGGACGGACAGACAGACGGACAGACAGACGGACAGACAGACGGACGGACAGACGGACGGACGGACAGACAGACGGACAGACAGACGGACGGACAGACAGACGGACAGACAGACGGACGGACAGACGGACGGACGGACAGACAAACAGACAGACGGACGGACAGACAGACGGACGGACGGACAGACGGGCCCCGCCGCCCCGGGAAGGCAGGCCGGCGTTGGGCGGGCGTCGTTGTTTTGAGTTGTGAGCAGAACAGCAGGACGGAAACGTTAATAAACAGGAAATAAGCCCGCACCCAGGCCAGGGACACGGTTTGCTCCTGCAGACCGCGCCGGTGCGGCCGCGCTTAAAGCCGGAACCGGAGGCCCCGGACACGGGGACAGAGCGCCCCCTGGCGGGAGGCCGGGTGACGGCGCGGACATGGGGACAGAGCGCCCCCTGGCGGGAGGCCGGGACGGTGGGGCAGTGGGTAGAGGCCGGCGGGGGTCCCAGGGCAGAAAGCCGGCGTTTTCCCGCCCTCGCCCACGGCCCGGGCCGCGATGGAGCTGCCGGCCGGCCCGGCCCGGCGGTGTGGGTGCCGGAGGGGCGGGGCCGCAGCCATGAGACCCGCTTTTCTAACCGGACAGTCCCGTCCCCGTTTCCCAGGAGGGGAGGCGGGCGGCGCTGCTGGCCGCGCCTGGGAGCGCGCGGAGGAGCAGGGCGGGCGGCCCGGGTGCGGGGCGGGCGGCCCCGGTGCAGGGCGGGCGGCCCGGGTGCAGGGCGGGCGGCCCGGGTGCAGGGGCCCGGGTGCAGGGCGGGCGGCCCGGGTGCGGGGCGGGCGGCCCGGGTGCAGGGGCCCGGGTGCGGGGCGGGCGGCCCGGTGGGAGCCGGAGCGCGGGGCCGGCCGCGCAGCCGCAGAGGCTCCCTCCGGGCGGGCGGCGCCAGGAAGGGCGGCGACGCCCCCTGGAGCGGCCGGAACCGGGCGGGCCCGCCTCCCGCTCCCCGCCCCGCACCGGCCGCCCGGGAGCGCCGGCCGGAGGGAGCCGGGCGGTCGCCGCGCCGTTGCCCTTTTAAGGGGGAGCCTTGAAACGGCGCCCGGGCTCCATGTTTGCATCCGCCGCGCGGGGAGGAAACTCCATGTTGTAACAAAGTTTCCTCCGCGCCCCCTCCCTCCCCCTCCCCCCGGCGCCCGGCTCCCCTCCCCTCCGCAGCCCGCGGGACCCTCCCCCCCGCGCCCCGATCCCGCCCGAGCCGGGGGGGAGGCCGCCGGCGCCGGGGCAGAGTCCGGCGGAGCGCCGGGCCCATGGACAGCGCGGCCGTCATCACCCAGATCAGCCGGGAGGAGGCGCGGGGCCCGCTGCGGGGCAAAGGTACGGGCGCGGGCCGGGCGGGGCGGGGCGGGGGCCGGGACCCCGGGGTCCCCGGGGCCGCCCGGGGGGAGCGGGAGTTTGGAGCCGGAGTCGCGGGGCGGTGGGCGCTCGGGCCCGGGCGCGGCGGGAGGCGGCGGCGGAGCGGACCGGGGTGCGCAGCGCCCGGCGCCCCCCCCCCCAGCGCGGGGCCGCGGTGCGGGCGGAGGGCGCCCGGAGACCCGCCCACACCCGGGCCGGCGGGCGGGCGGGCGCGCTGACAGCGGCGGGGGCCTCGCCCACACGCGGCCCGGATCCCGCAAACTTCGGGGAGTTTTGCGCCCGCGGCGGGGCGGCTGCGGCCGGGGCGCCGGGGGCCGCCGGCGGCCGGGGCGGGGGCGGGGCCGGGGGTCCTCCCGGGCCGGGCAGGGCCAGCTGCCGCCAGCCGGCGGGTAGCGGCTCCGGGCGCGGGCGGGGCGCGGGGGCCGGGCCCACCCCGTCCCTCCACCCAGCTCCGCCGGAGGGGACCCTGGACTCCCCGGGCCGGCCCCCGGGCCTCCCTACGCCGCGGCGCTCGGGGCAGGTGGGTGTCAGGAGGCGCCCGGGGGCTGATGCCCCCCCCCCCCGGCGGGGGAGGCCGGGAGGAAAGGATGGGACCTCGGCGCCCCCTCCAGCAGCCCCTCCCTGATGGGGCACCTCTGCACCCACCCGGGGTGACCTGTGGGAGCAGAGGGGTGGCCCCAGGGCCCAGGCCGGCCCGCCCCCACCTGAGCCCCCGTTCCAGGCGACCAGAAGCCCCGGAGCCGGGGCATCTTCCACTCGCTCTTCTGCTGCGTCTGCCGGGACGATGGGGAG